TTTCATCATGTACTGTGAGTGATTCTTAAACTCGAGGTCTCAATTATAGGTCTGCCACTCCACTGGTCCACACCTGCAAATCCAATATCATTTTTTTTCAGATCAACTGATATTTGCACAACATATTTACTTATTTAGCAGCTTCCTTGGGATATGACTCAAGAACTCCAATACAATAATCCCTAGATTGAAATTCCCAACCTATTCTTCTTCCTGTTCACTGTCTTGGTGAGCAACATCATCCAATAAACAAGCCAGAAATCTGGGTATCTTCAGATACTCTTAAACCCCCCTAATCTTCTATGTTCAAATAGTTACCAAATCCTTAGATCTCTTGTGTGTATTCTGCCTCTCCATTCCCATGGCTACTGCTGTAGTAAAATGTGCACGATGGGCTATAATAATAGATTTCAAACCCATTTTTATATTTCTTACAAGCTTAAAGAAAAACATTAACTCCGCCTGCATGGCCTAGGATAAATCCAGTCTCCTTAGAATGTCATTAAAGGCTTTCCTCCCTGTTTTGACTGATGTCTGAATCATCTTTTGTTTTTGTTTTTGTTTTTGTTTAGCTATAATAAATCACAGACTCACAACAGACTCACCACAAGCTATAGATTATTTCTTTAAAAAATTGCACATTCCCTCATGCAGGCAAGCTCACACTTTGTTGTAATGATATCAAGGGAGTTCATGGACTCCCTGAGATCTATCCATGAGTCCCATGGTCCAAATGAATCTCTTGCCACATTCTCCAACACCTTCAGCAGTACCGAACTACTTACAGTTCCCCCAAATGCCATGTTGTTTCTCACTTCGTGATGTTCCCTTACACAATCCCTGCCTGCCTCATTCACTTGATAAATGGAATAAAACCCATTGGTCCTCTATCCATTAGCCTAAGATCACCTCTAGGCTTATTCTCACTCTCTCCTCATACAGAGGTCTGGGGTATTCCTCTTCTTTTTGAGTCTATTATATATGACTTCTATCAAAAGATGAGGTAGACAGTGTAATTTAAAGCTAAAGAGCCTTGAGGTGAGAATGACATAGGTTTAGATACAAGATAGAAATGGGTATATTTGGTAATGTCTCCTGACCCAGGGACTGAGAGTTTAATTTGAGGAAGAAGTTTCTTCTGCCAAATTAGTATCATTTGAAGCTTTATGATGGAAGTAGAATTTAAATTGGTTTTAAAAACTTTTTCAGCTGACATTTACTAAGCTGTTTTCAACTTTAGAAATTAGAACCTTGGTTGTATTATTAGATTCTTTTTATAATCCTATGTTCTTTATAAGAAATTAACTTTCATGTGATTCATGTGACTTACTCCCTGACCTATTTGTTTCTTATTAGAAATGTGATTTTTTAGAATTCATGCTGAATTCATTTTCTAATTGTCGGTTCATCATTATATTTACTGATTTGTAAGATTTGAGACATTGTTTCATCAAATGTGTTTTTAGGAAATCTAATATGGGAAATTTATTAAGAAAGTAAGATGGGCTAATAGGCTTTTGGTTCACGTTAGTATGGTAAAGGCTCTGAGAAGTTCTGCAGTAAAGAAGTTTCATTTGTTTAATTCACTACTTCACAACTTATTTGTCCATAGAACTCCCTTTTACACAAGAGCTGTTACTATCTCAAAGGACTATTCTTCCACACTTTGGAGAATTATAATGAACTAATATTCGTCTGGTACTCACTCCCTTACCAAACTGAACTTATTAAACATCCAAGATAAGTTGTTTTACATTTTTATTCATATATCAAAGATTCAAAAATACTCCTTAACTCAAAGTACTTATAGGTCATATATGTGTTTTAAGTATTTTTATTGACCTATTGTAAGAGAATTATTTTAATATAGTTCAAACAAATCAAATTATAATATAACAGATCTTTTGGAACCAAAAGGATGACTATATTTCAAATGATTTTCTCATTTAAATTCATTTGAGGAAACTGAAGCCCAGAGAAGTTTAAAACTTTTGTGAATATCACAGAGCAATTCTGTAGTGGAATGAAGGCTCAAAAGCGAATATCTTGAGTAAGAGCCCAGGATTGTTTTTTGCTCACTAATCTAATTTATCGCTTAATAATACACTTATAAATAATGAAACTGATTCCATTTGTTATGACAGTTGAGATTTTTCACGTTTTAAGGTTAGAAGCAAAAACTAGAAGAGTTTATGTAAATGTCCAATTTCTAATAGATAATCATTACTCAACACAGTTGAAATAATATTTGGCCTAATTAAAAACAACACATTTCAAATAATTTAGAGGTAAAATTGTGATAGTCAAAAGAAATATTTTTAAAATATCAAGAATTTTGGAAATATTAACTCTACAAAACACAAAATATAAAGTAGAAGTCAGATTCTTTTTATTTCTATTTGGTTGCTTAGTTTTTCATTTAATAAGATTTTTTTCTTACAACATGAAACCACTCTAGGGGATCAAAGTCATTAGGAGAACACAGCAGATTGTGCTTATTAGTTGATTCTAACCAGTTCTGCAGTTTAAGCATAAGTTGTTTTTTTTAAGGCAGAGGCATTTCCGTCTGTTTGGAAACATCAACCTTTAAATTTTTTTTCCACTATGGCATCATAGCCTCTTTCTTGCTAACTTAGAAAAAAATTAGGAGATAGTGTATCCGTTGTCCCCTCCATCAATCACATAAAAACAAATTTAAAAGTGAAAATGTATCTCTCCTCTTTTTATATGAAATCACTTTCATTTATTATAATTTCATTTTATTACTAAGAATGCCAGGTTATAATACAGAGTTGGGAGCTGTCAAGGTATAAAGGCATGTGATCCTACATTTCTTTTACTTAAAAAAAAAGTGAGTATTTTGTGTGTATATAAAAGACCTCTTTCCATCCAGGAAACACATCCAAACTTTTCAAGTTTAAGGAACTAACACACCGCCTGTGATATTTTTAAGTAGACAACATTTAATGTGAAATAGAAGTCCAGTGGACTTGGCTCCAGTATGTTTGCAATTTTATTACTGTGTGGAAATAAAATATAAAGAATAAGGTAAATTTGCTAAAGAATATGGTATATTTGCTGCAGTATATACTCAGATGTTGAATCATTAGTAATAGTATATATTTTGTTGAGAAATTATATGTCAAATTTTAAAAAATTTTAATCTTTCAGATATTCTACTCTCCCCTGGCCCTCTTCATACCACCTTCGGTATATGCTGTTCATCTTCAGTTCAATCTTCTCTACCAATTTTGGATCCACACAGAGGTAAATCTTTTTTCCTTTTCCTTTTTTTTTTACGTTTTATACCTAAATAGCCTGAAGCAATGTCCTGGAAATCCACTAGAAGCTGATTTATTGTGTAAGAAAATCTTTGTCTGCCTTCTTTAAGGAGAAACATCTGTTCATTTTTATTCCTTTTTACTGAATATATATTGCAAAGTTTATAAGAAGCAATGAGGCCAGTTGGTCTCAATTAAATAAAACCATTTTTTGAACTATTAAGTACCAAAACATTTTAATACTTTATTCAATACAATATCCTCCTGTATTACAGTTTAATAAATATTGTTTGCCAAAAGATATTGTAATTTATTTCAGTATAAAGATATAAATATATATTTGTACATTTTATGTTTATAAATATATGTAATGTTTATATATTCAATATAAATATTATTTATAAAATTATTTCTATAATGTAATTTATATTTACAATATAATTTATTATTATATAATGATAAATATTTAATTACATGTATAAACATGTATATTTATACATTATATAAGAAGTTCTTGAAAATGCCTTGAAAAAAATTTAATGCTGAAAGAAATTATAAAAATATTTTTTGATTGAAAATCTTGCTTTAATTTTAGAGCTTGAGTTTATTTAAAAGATAGTCAATATATTTTTAGAATTGTTTCCCCAGAAAAGTGAACAAATATAATTTCTCAGGTATTCTGTGCTATCTCAAATTGTCAGACTTGAATGTTTGCAGAAAGATCATTAAGCAATTGATTGGTTTATGAACTATTGCACTGATCTGGTTGTTACGTTCCAAAACTCACAGACCCAGAAAAATTCTTACTTATACACATGAGAACCCTTTCAAGCATTTGGTATTTATTGGAAGCCTTTTGAAGTTCTATAGGAAGCACGTTGACAGGTGTTGCAACTGGTTGAGCAATACCGCAAATCACAGCTGCATTAGATGTCAAAGCTTGATGCAACAAAGTACATTATTTCATTAATCTGTAGTATTTCATGCTATTGATTTACTTGGAATAAAGAGACTGTTACCATGACTTTGGGCACATGTGACGTTGTTTGAAGATCTATTGTGAAACAGCATTGCATTTTATGGTAGTTGACATACATCAAACAGTCAATACTACAACCATCTGAAAGAGTTGTTGAGGCCAATTGTGACTCTAGAGGTCAAAGACCAAATTTGTTTAAATCAGTGGAGGGAAGCTTTTTGATGATTTACATGGAGGGGTTAAAGGAGAATTACATTTTTATAGCAGCTCTGCTTCAGGTCATGCCATGTGTTGGGTCAGGTATTAGCCTGGATAAAGAACAATGGTGCCTAAGTAACTTCTGCCTTGTCCTGTGTCACTCAGAGAGGTTCATGAGCCAGGGCTTGGTTCCATCTCAGGAAATAAAGAATGGAGGAAAGTCCGTGGTGAAACATTTCTTTTAAGCTCAGAACCTCCAGGGGGCTTCATTTTCAACTTGAAAGCAGTGCATTAGAACCTCTCTCACCTATGTTGTACATCATACTTTTGAATATGCTGTATAATATGTAGTTACTACAGTTACGCTGTACCAGAAGCAAGAATACACTTTCCAAAATTAAAGTTTCGATCTTGGAATTTTAAATTGTATTATTAGCTGTGAATATATTTCTGAGATTTTTTTTTTTTTTGCAACTGCGTATTTAATTACATTCATTATTACAGATAGAATACTACTACTTATTTACAAATAATAGAATCATTTAGGAAGTAGAACCAAAAGATTTGCTTCTAGAGAAAAGAGTGAGTAAAATAAAAAAAAATGGTATGAGGAGAATTAACCTTTTTTTAAAAAATAGATATTTTTATCATATACTTATTCTACTTTTTCAGTTAAAGGTTAATACACATTAGATTAAGAAATAATAAATAAAAACTGAAAACAATGTCTTTCAGACTAGAAAAATACTCACTTTATGAATCTGTAGGCCATTTGAGCACTGTTTAACTTTAGGCATCATACTTGGGTTTTCATTCACAGAAATAATATATGAGCCACAGACATGACAGTGATGACCAAAGAGCCCAGCACATTCCTGAATGGAGTTTTGGTTCTTACAGTTGTTTCACTTCTATTGACCTCTATAAAATCAGTTCTCACTCTGAGAGGATCTTGTCTTAAGGAATTACTGATTTTCTAAAAGTAAAGAAGAGTTCATTCCTGTCAATCAATCAGGTTAAGATAAGATGAATTAAAAAAAAAATGCTAACATGTTTTTGAAAGATTGTATGTACATAAGAGAAAAACTAAGTCATAAAACAAACTAGAGTTTTTAACAATAATTTTTTTACTTTTGAGTTACTTTGATGAAGAAAGAACTTAATTTTTGTGACTACATTTTGTTTATTGCTCATTCATCTGCTACATATAGTCAGACTCTTTTCTTGTGATTATACTAAATGCAATTATAAAAAGTTTTTTAATAGATGTTTTAAATTTGATAACTGTAAAATGTTACAAAGATTTTTGAGATATTACGTGATATTTGAGTGTTAGCTGATTTACACAATGAAGTAATAATAGTAACATCTATTACCTTTGGTTTATCTTAAATTTTAAACTTTCTTAACTATCATATTGTTTCTATACATATCAGGTGATGCTTGGGCAAAGAAATATAACAGAGAAATAATTCTTTGATATTAAAGATTTGAAACATGATTCAGTGATTTTTATAGTGCTAAACCGAAGCCCCTAAATAAAACATTATGGAGATAAAAACATAATGAGAAATCTCTTTATGTACTAATCTGGATAGATCTCCAAATAAATAAAGGTCCATAACAAGATTTAATGCATGCTAATATTTATATTAAAACAGGAAAACCAACTATGTGTTTTATATGTTTATATGTGCATAAAATGCCTCTAGAAGTACACCTGTGTAGCCAACTGTTTTTTTCTGTGGATTGATATTTGGGATGTCTGGGACAAGAATTAGAATGGGATATTAACATTAATTTTACCCATTCTGATGTGGGAGAGTTATTTCATAGTGGTAATATTTCCCTAATAACTAATGATATATTTACTTTGATGAATTGTCAGTTCAAGCTCTTTATTTTTTTTTATTGTGTTGTTTGCCTAACTGATTTAGTGACATTTTTTATAGACTGTGGATATGTCATATATCAGATACATATATTTTAAATATATTCCCCTAGTTTGTAACATGCCTTTTCATTTTCTCCTTGGTGACTTTTGATGAAAAGAAATTTAAAAATTTAAGTTTGATTAATCATTTTTTTATGGTTAGTTTTGTTTGTTTTTGTATTTTCTCTAAGAAATCTTCAACTATCACAAACTCTCAAAGAAATTATCCAAATGATTTCTTCTGGAAATTTTGAATTTTAATATTACCTTAGAGTCTGTGATATGCTTTAATAAGCTTTTGTATGTAGTATTTGGTAGGGGTCAAGAGTCATTATTTCTCTGCACATACCCACTCACTCTAACACCATTTATAGTGCAGACTTTTATTCACTGGATTACCTTGGTGCTTTTGTAGACAAGAAATTGACCATATATGATTGAATCTAATCTTAGACTTCTCTTCAATTGATTTATTTGTCTCCTCTTATATGAATCCTCCACTTTGATTAGTATAGCATTATAGGATGAATGGTTTGTACAATTAGTAAAATTTGTTTTAAAATTCTCTAAAAGTTTTATTGTACGTGATTCTGTAGTCTTTGAATAAAGACAGTTCTATTTCTGTCTTCCCTGTATTTATATCATTTATTTCTTTTTCTTGCCTTATTGGACAGAGTTTACAGAGAGTATATTTTAAATTAAATTTGAGGGAAAACAAAGAACATGAAAATTATTTCCTTAACCATTATTTCCATATCTTTCTCTTCTCTTGGAACTCCAAATACATGTTTATTAGACTACTTGATATTACCTCACAGATCAATAATGCTCTATAATTTTTTTAAATTTAACTTTTTATTTACATGGAATCATTTCTATTATTTTTTCTTCAAGTTCATTTACCCTTTCACCAGCTCTCTCCAACCTGCTATTAAGCCCATTCAATGGTTTTCTTGCATCAGATATTAAACTTTAAGTTCTAGAATTTTCATTTCTTTATGCATGAATAGTTTTATTTCTCCACTAAAATCGTCTATTTGTCACTCATTACTATCTTTTTAAGTCTTACTGATAATAATTTTAAAATTCTTGTCTGTTAATTCTCACATCTGAGTCATGTGTGGGTCTACTTCAACTGACTTTTTTTGCTTGATTTGGATCATATTTTCCCTCTTCTTTATATGTCTAGTAATTTATTATTATTATTAGCCAATATTTATGGTCAATTTATTATAGAAACTCTAGATTCTGTTATAGTCCTCTGACCATTCCTTATTTTTATTGTAAGAGGAAGTGAAATAATTGCCTAACCTTCCTGTGTTTTTGGAGTCTTTGATTTACACTTTCTTAGGAGATATATCTTTTATTACTGTCTTTAGTACTGGGGCGTATTCTTTACCCATGGTGATCTTTAATCTTAGGGCAAGACCTATCATAAAGCCAATTTCATTTGTTAGAATTTGAATTCTAAATTCTCTCTTGCCAGCAACAGGCAGCAGTTGAAATCTCCGCTCAGCAATTTTCTAACTCTTTACCTTCCTGGCTCTTCAGATGACCTAGTGCTTGTCTCATGCTTGAGTTATTTGAGTCAGCAAGACTCTCCATTCAATTGAAGAGTCAAGTTTAAGAAGATTTGTGTGCAGATATTGTGGCTTCTCCTTCTGTCGTTCCTTTTGGGGTGGGAGGGATTTCCCATTTCGATTTGCAGTCACTAGATCACTGGAACTTTCTCTTTGAGCTCTTTGAGCTCTAACCCCCTTCTTGCCTCAGGACATGCCTTAAGACAGTCATTATATTAGAATGATACTGTGTCAACTATATCCAGCAAGCAGAAACACTGGCATCGGTGATCAAATTGACAAGCTATGAAGAAAAC